TTTATTTGGTAAAAATATCCATCAAATTTAGTATATTTATTTAATTCTTTATAATTTATGATCATTCTAGTTTTTCCTCTAATTTGTTCAAAATGTTTCATAACCATAAATGCTGGACTACTATGAAGTCCATTACTTGGTCTTATAAGTTTCTGTTCTAATAATTCTTTTATCTGATTTTTTAATTCTTGTGTATCTTCTATAGTATACATCATTGGTCTGACTCTTATTATAATATTTTCTGTCAATTCTATTTTGGCTTTAGGGTGATATGGTTTCCAAAATAATAATGGACTTTTCCCATAAACTTTTTCTAATTGTTCAATAATTTATTCTATACTTATTTCTATTCCAGTTTTCAAATTTTTTTATATAATATTCTTTTATTTTTTATCTCATTAAACATGATTGGGTTTTTCTCTCATTTATCACCACACTGGGTTGGCTGAACTATATAAGGTTTAAATTTTCTTGAAATTTTTAATAAGTGTCCACAAAGTGTTTGTAACGTTATCATATAATTATTTTGTTTATAATATTAAAATTGCTGTATAAAGTCATTTCCTAATAATATATCACACTCTAATTCATCATATTTATAAATTTTATTTATTGTAACTTGTTTAATTCCAAGAATTATACTAACTTTATCAGCACTATTTATTATCTGGGTACTTTCTCCTATTACTCCAGTGATTTTTATATTACTATTATTATTCCATGATTTTATCAGAAAACTTTTAAATATTGTTATATCACTTTCTGTATCTATTAAAACACAAATTGTTATATTTGTTTCTGTATTAGTAACTTGTGTATATACAACTAATGGAAAACTTATTTGATTATTCATTTAGTTATTTTTACATAATATAGTTTGTCCATCATATATTATGTATGATCCTTCTCTTTTTATATGATAATCTTCTAATCCATTTAGAAAACTCATTCCTAAAAGTATATGAGAGTTTATATCCATACTTTTATCAATAGAACATGGTATTAAAAGATTTATTCCTCTTATTTTTATTGGTACATTAACTTCCAAATCTGTAATATGTACCTGCCCATCAAAATTTACATATCTATATGAATCAGTTCTATGAGTTATTATTCATTTATTTCTAATTGAAACTATATGACATTCACTAGCTCCTGTATCTATTAATATATTTGGTCCATTTATATTTTCTCTTTCATTATAATATTTTCCTTCTATTTTTATATTTCCAGCATTCCTATATAGTTTTACTTATTTTATATTATTAAGTTCTCATAACTAATTTTTATTAGGTATTCTAAAACTTTTTGATCTTTTAATTAATTTTCCATCTTTAAATGTTATATTATTATAACATTCTCATTCATTTAATTCTTTTATTTCACGTTTATTTTTTTTTTATGCTAAATTCATATTTTTCTGGAATTAAATTTATTTGTTTATTTGATTATATTATTTTGCTAATATCTTTACATTCTTTATGTATTTCAATAAAATGTTTATTGGAATAAATATTTCCATAATTAGAATAGGTAAATGTGTATAAAGCTCTCTACTTTATAATCATAATTTGATCATCTGGTTGCATGATATCATCTTTGTGCAATTTAAAATGTAGTCCTAAAACTTCATTAAGATTTCTATCTATTAATGAAACATAATATTTTGGGTAACATGTAAACATTATATTTTGATATGCCAGATTTCCTTCTATTGTTCCTAAATAACTATCTTTTAAATTTATTATCCTTCCATCATGTAAGATTATAGTTAAAGGTGAATCTACTCCCTCTCTAAATAATGATTTAAACATTATTTGTATTCCTACTAAATAAACATATTGAATTTTTTTCACTTTGCTTTTTACTAACCTTTGTTAATAGTTCTTCAATTTTATTTTTTGTTAATAGATTTAATTCATGTTGTCCATATGTTGTTCTTATATCTATGAATTTTTCTATTTTGTGATATTTATTTATTGATATCCTTTCTTTTTTCCAAATTCTATCTCAGACTTCCCATTTCCCTATTCTTAAATCTAAAGATAATTTTTGTAATTTTCTAAGTTTATTGTTATTAAAAGTAACTTTTAATCCACATCCTTCTATTCTTTCATATTCTTATATATTTATATTATTGCTTTCTATTTCCTCTATTTCTTTATTCAGATTCAAATTCATCATTCTCTGCTTCACTCATATAAAATTCTTGATTATAATATTCTTCAATATCTAATATTTCATTTAATTCATCTTTTATTTCCAAATATTCTTTTTGTATTATTTTAACTTTCTTTTTATCATAATCAGGGCTTATACAACATATTTCTTCACAATTCCAGCATTTACTTTGACTTTTATTTTTCTTATAACTTTTATTTTTCTGTTGACCATATGAGATATTTTTTCTTTTATTATATCTTATTCTAAGTTTTATATATTTTTTATTAAAATTTCTAAATTTTTTATTTTTAAATTTTCTTTTATTAACCCTTCTTTCAGGATTACATTCCCAATGTATAGGATTTTTCATATATTCACAACATATTCTAGTTAATTTTCTTGATTTTTTCATTAATTGTCTTTGTTGATATATATATATATGCAAGTCTTACAAATAAAATTTTTATTTTTGAACCTAAAGTTCTAGGTATTCTAACATTATCTCTAACATATTTTTCAAATTATATTTTAAAATATATTTCCTATGAACTTGGTAATTTATTATAGTACATATCTTGGTATACTTCTTATTTTTTATTACTGTAAAATTGGACATAATAATAATTTCTAAATTCACAAGTGTATTATTTAATTTTACATATATCATTTAATTTTACATATATCACATATTGTTAAATTTATTAGTTTAATTCTAGTATTGTCTTTTTCTCTTATTTCTTTTCTTTCAGCGTTTCTTATCCACTTTTCTCTTAAAAAAAATCATCTAAAATATATTCTACTAACTTTTCTATACCTTGTCTATCTAATTTTATTATCTCTGTTTGTACATTTCTTTTTATTAATGTTTTCGTATCATTACTTATTCATTCTTACCAATTTCTAACATCTCCTTCAAAGGACGGTATTAAGAAATTTATTCTTCTTTCAGTATTTTCCCATGTATCATCTTTATTATATAAAAAGAATAATATCATTGAATCTGCCCAAGTTAATAAGATTTTTTTAGTATCTATTTTGCAATTTAAATCTAATTTTGTTCGTCCATGGTTAATAGGTTTATCATAATTATCATTTAATTCAAACTTATCTCTATATTTATTTCCTTTAGGTGGTTGTCTATCTCTTACTTTATCATAAAATTATCTATATGGTTTATTATATATAGGTACATAACTTTCATCTGAATCTTGTAATTCTTGTTTAGAGGTTCCTATGGGATTAGGTCATCCTTCAGTATTCATTAAAACTTGGTATTTACTAATATCAGTTACACTTAATTGATCAAAATTTTATATTAGTAAATCTAATTCATCATTCATCTTTATCTTCTATTTTTAATTTTCCTAATATTTTTTTCTCTAGATTCTTCTTCTTCTAATATTTTTTCTAAATTCATCATCAATACTTCCTGTTTCTATTACTCCACTTTCTTTTTCAATATGTTTATTTTCTATTCGAGTCATTTATTTTTCTATTAATTTTTTTATCTATTTTCTTTTCTTTATTTTTCTAATTTCAATTTTTAATATATTTATATCATTTCTTGTTTTTCTAACTTTATTTCTTAAATTTTGTATATCATTTATTAACATTTTTATTAATGACTTTAATTCTTCTATATATTCACTTATTGACATATTAAAATCATTTTTATAACATATAAGTTAATTTGCATCTTTTATCATCTTTTTTATTTATTATTATTTCAAATCTTTTATTAGTAGAATTATCGGTATTTACTAATTTTTCTTTTATTATATTAAAATATTTGCTCTCAAGTCTTAATCTTTCACATTTTAATTTTATTAATTGTCTTTTATTTGATACTCTTATTCCTTCTGGTATTAATATTATACCTCGTATTTCTTCTTGTATTTTTTTCATTTTTATAAGTAATCTATTTAATTTCAAATCTGTATTATTACTTGCACTCATACTTCTCTTTATAATATAAATTGATTTCTTCATCTTCATATAAATTAGCAATTTTTTCACATATATATTTATTCTTTATTGTTTCTATTATTAATTTTTCTAATATTTGTTCTTTTATTTCTTTGGGTAGTTCTTTAATTATCGTTAATGTCATTATTTTTAATTTATTATGAATAAATTTTAAAAATATATAACTTCCTCTTTCTTCTTCTAAATATCAATAATTATTTATTTTTCTTAATCTAATTTCTATAATCTCTATGGCTCTGATACCAATTAAGGGGTGCTACTTTGAACGAACAAAAATCAAATAAATCTATAAATCTACTAAAAACTTTAACTATCCATTTACAAACTAAATTCTTTAAAATTTTTAAGGACTTGAATGGAAAGTTTCAATAAAATAAAGACTTATGTATAATATTTATATAAGGGTATCTCAGGTACTTGAATAAGTTAAAGGTTAAAATGAAAAAAGTAGCCCTTTTCTGTAGGCTATTTTTATGTATTTCCCGCCGTAAACAAAGTATACAAGAAAATAAATAAAGTTCTCTCCAATCATAAACCGATTGTACTGCATGTACATAATTGTTTACAGAATTATTTACATACATATGATATAGTGAAATATGATTGTGTCAGAATTTCTTCAACCAAATAAAAAAAAAAATCGCTCTCTTTTTGACATCTCTGTAGGTAAATGCCCAAGCAAACTTGCCGTGTACTATTTTGCATAAAACAATCAAGTTTAAGGTTAAGCGTAGAGCTCCTAACAATTTCGTGACATCAACCCTATCTATATCCGTTTCTACTCATGAAAACAGTCACAAAATATCCTCTTCCAAATTATTGAGCTTTAAAACTAGAACATCAGTTCGCAATTCAAATGGGAAGCATCACTGCAGAACAAAATAAATCTCTAATATGATATATTATCTGTTCAAATAAAACAAAGTCAAGAGGAAGTATGTAATTTGACGTTTCTCTCCAACAACAGCAAAACTGCAAGTGTGGAACTCACAACTAAATCCATGTCAAACTCAAAAATGTAGAAAACCAAAAATGTAGGAGAGGGAGGGCAAACTCAAAAATGTAGAAAACCAGTTAAAGATGATCAATAGGGGTAAAAGGTATAGCTCTTTTTGTTTTAGAAACCCGATACCCAACAAAAATGGATACACAGAAGGCAACGACGGATATTAGGAAAGCAAAACCAGCGGCAGCATCCCAAGAGCTCCCAGATGCTACTTTGACGTGTGTAGAGGAACCAGGAGTTACGTCCAATGGTACCCAATCACAGCTCACGGTATAATGCCCCGAACCATGCCATGGATTTCCATCAATAGGATACCAGAAGGCAGCTGAAAATTTGCTCGATTGACCTATTGTAAATTGTACATCCTAAATAAAGTAAATGAAGTTATTTGTTAGTGTCTTCAAAGTTTTGACAGCCTGGCCAAGACACTAAGTCAATCTTTTAATTAACTGGTAAAGTTGTTAGTCAGAGGAAGTTAATAACATCATTCCCTTTTTTCTTTTCAAAAGTCTCAGATTGCTTCATCCTTCTTGCCCAAAACAAATTGAATATTCTAGTTTCAAAAAAGGTACGCCTCTTTTAAGCAACCACAAATCGTATATTTTAGTACCATTTATCAAGTTTGTCAAATAATGTTGAAAGGCCAGCAATTGAGAATTCATAATTCTAATATCAATTTGCAAGGTGACTGCAACGAGCAAGCAAAGAATGTGCACAAGAAAGCAAGTAGGAAAAAAGAAGCAACTGAAAAGATAAAACAACCTGCTGATGACGATCCATGGTTCTCATAGACCTAGTGAATTCAAAGTAGTATGTACCCTTCTGACCAGATGATGCATAAGGATTATCTTCCTCAACATAACCTGTCAAGCGAGTTTGTTACGACAGATAAGAAGAAAAGATTCCATGCTTACTAAAAACATCAAAGGAATTCTTATCACAGACATTGGAATTATCATCTTACTGTCTAGAATTACCTTCAAGAACAATCTAGGCCTTACCTAGTTAAACTCGGCACTACGTGCGTCCTTTTTTACCACTTATATTATATAATTCCAAATTGATTCTCTGGTCTCTTTCAATTGTAATTTAGTCCATGCTTGATCACGCAGTCCCATAAGGCCCTATTTCCATAGTATAACACAATAGTTTAATAACTCCGTGCTACTTAAAAGTTGTTAGTCCCATTTTTCCAAAAATTAATTTTTTTAAAACTCATTTTCAACCACATATTCTCCGATAAAATAATTCTACACGTAAATCAAAAACCTTTTTTTTTTTTTAACCACACATTCTCCAAAAAAAAATCACCACCCTACTCATAGTCCCCTCTTAGATATGAAATTTGGATCCTTCATGTATAGTCAACATTTCTATCTTCAATAGAGTTTCCTAAACTAAGAGAAAAATATACAAAAACTATATTTTTGTTATGGAAATTCTTTTATGACAGAAAGAAGATAGTGATGCATTGAGGAGAAAAATAATTTTCAACAATAGTTTAGACATGAAAAACGTCTAGATAACCAAATAAACTTCAAAAGAGGAAGCAGAAAGGTAGGACTGCTACTTGGTAGTGAAATGAAGTCCCTCTACCCAAGATACTCCTGTGCACCTCAGTCAGTGTTCGGAAAAAGGAATTAACAATTCATTCAGAAACATGCAAAATATTCACCTGAATGGGTGGTGAAACTGCTATGCCACCATGCACCTTTCCAGTCATTCATAGCTGTAGATTCATTACCTAAAAGTAAAGAAAACAAAAGCTTTTAATTACTACATGCTTCGGTCCACATATAGTCAGCTCGAGACAAAAGATAGGACAATTTTAAAAGCTGTGCCTACATGAATCCATATGGTTCTAACTAGTGAACTAACACAAGATTTTAATGCATATTTTTTATACTAATACCAATTGAAAACCTAAAAATATGTAGAGACCAACTTCTCTAGCAGAAATTTAGAAATTAACTTCCCATAATAATATCAAATATGAACTTCTGACAACTCTAACTTGTCCACATGTGCATCTAGGTTCTGCATCATGAGATGATTCATACATATTTTTTGGAATTCATTATGTTTTAACTAGGTTGTCAGAAAGCACAAGATCAAAACCATACTAAACACAAGCAACAAACTCTTGATTCAATAACCCGTGGCATAAGAATGAAAGTTTAGTCCTAAATCAGATTACAAGATTAAATGCTTGTTTCAGCGTTCTATATGTTGCTAAAATTGTAATGTGATAGAAATGAGTGGTTGATAAGTGGGTAGTAGTCGTGGATCCTATGAAATGTGTGGTTAAAATTAAAGTATGACTTTGACCTTTAAAATAAGAGGAACTTATAATGAAACCCAAACAAGCTTTTAAATGATTTTAATCAGTTGACAGCTGAAGTTCAGTTTCTAAAATGTTATGAAATATAAAAGTACCTGCTGAACCAATGCCGTCAACGTTCCTACAGTGTGGATTCCAAGCAAATATATCAACCAAACCAATCCTGTTAAAGAGAATTCATATAGCATGTGACATCCACTATTAATTAATTTACGAATCTCTGCACAATGATTGACAACCCAAATAGTTTACCTGTCAGCATTGTTTCCGCCATACAGTCTTCCTGGGATAGAATTTCCAATGGAGAAATGCATGATGTCAACTTCATGTCCACGGCATGTCTTGTTGTTGCATTTACCAGGTAATTCTTTACACCCACCCATCTTGTTAAACAAAGCCACACCCATTTTAACAGAGAAGATACCCAAAAAAGAACAAAAAAAGGAAAGCGGAAGATTGAACTAAATGAAGTCACGATCTACCAAAAAAAAAAATCAGTTTCCTTAAACAACTTACATCATGATATGAAGCATTCTCACCAACTTGGAACATCAGGGCTACTGATGGGCATTTATAGTTATCTCTGCATGATTAAAGAACAGAGTTATTTGAATTAATTGTTTATGCAAGTAAGCTTGCCTTAATTTATAAGGCCACATTGAGAATGAAACTATGAGCAAACATGTACTCGCGAAATTGAACAAACCAATGTATACTATTGACTATTGAGGTAGTTATCTCACAGTGGTTAACCCTAAGTTTGTTTGATTTTTTTTTTTATTTTTCATTTTTATCTGTGCTAAAGATGAATAGTTTTCAATTGTAAGTTTAGTTATTCTATTGACAATCGTGTATGCTGAAGTACCTAGATGACATGCTCCCCAATATGGTACTTGTATAGCGAAAATTTCTCTACAGTGTGTTCTCTAGCACAGATAGAATACGATCTATATAATTGAGTATATGATGATGAAAAATAGTATAGTACCAGGAAACATAATCAAATAAATTAATATGATGTCCACAAACAATATTATTTCCAAGGTTTATTATTTTAAGAAATTGAACAAAAGTTTCTTTTATCCTGCACCGTTGACACAGTCTAAGAAGCAGGTAATGATAGGTTCCCTATTCTCACTCTTTGATATCAAAGTTTTGGCGAAGCATTAAATAAGACTGCCATAATATTCTAAATATATTCATGTGATCATCAGTAATATGACTGGCAATACAACTGCTTAGATAGAAAAACGCCAGTAAAGAAATTGGGTATAAATGTATAAACTTTCAAAGGTTTTCTTGCAATAGCCCTATTTACAATCAAAACTAATTTCCTAAATATATTTGTGAAAATGTTTCCAAAAACCCAATTAAACGTTTCTTTGGAGGGAGAAAAAAAATAATCTTTAAGTTGTTGGCCACATGGCAGCCTACTATTGGCCACTTACTCTTTTACATGGACTTGTGTTTGTTTGAAATAATGTGGACCATTGATTTAAAATGGAGGGCTGTGATTTGCGTCCACTTTTCTCTCATCCTTGAAGTAGACGGCAGGAGAGAGAGGGACTAGACTTTTCACTTTCCTTCTTTCATTTTCTTCAAATGGCAGATTCTTTCTCTCTCCCACTCTCTCTCTATTTTGGCGATTTTTTAGCCTTTACTAAGGGATATTCTTTAGATTAGTTCTTGTATATTTTTCCGGCCATATTTCTGTTGTGAGGCCCATATTCTGGGGCCGGTGATCTGGTTATTTTACAGTTGGCTGCTGGTATTTTGTGTGTTTCTGGCAGCAGGTTTTTTTGGTCCATTTTGGTCAGATTTTATACTATAAATTGATACTACATTTGAGTCCAAGTTAGGGTCGGTTAGGGCTATTATTGTGAGGTCTTTTGACAGACCGATGATCTGTAGATTTCTTGGTGTAATCTGATTCTTGTAAACGAACTCGTGTTCTCTCTTGGGTGGTTCTTACATAGTGACGGGCTAGGGTTTTTGCCTCTGAGCCCCCCAGATTAGGCCTGGCCGAATTAGGTGAACAATTTCTGTGTTCTTTAATTTTCTGCATGGTTTTATTATTGATGTGGTTGATTAATTGGTGATTGAAACCGCACTTTGGGTGAAAAATCCCAACAAAAACTGGTATCAGAGCCTCTAAGGCGTGGGTAAGGATCTGCGAATACAGTTTAATTTTTTATCGTATTGATGTGTTCCATTTGATCTGTGCAATACAATAAGTAATTTGAATAGAAGTTCTTGGAGCTAGGGTTTTGGATTCTGACTCTACAGTAAATCTTAAGAGTGGATTTAATACTGTTGTAGACAGTATTTGGTGAGATTGTTCCATTTTAGTTCACAGTATTGACCTACATGTGTTCTTGAATCATATGTGAACCTATGAATATTATTGTGGTTTGAATTTTTTCAAGAATTGGATAAATTGTTTAATTGAAATAGAAACACGTATTAGGATATTTCAGTTTTCTGTAATCTGATTGTTTGGTACCAATTGTTAGAAATCTAAAATCAATCTTGTTGTTATTCAATCTGTACATGCTATATAACTGTATTTTTCATTTTGTCATCTACTTATCTAAAATGATCTACAAAACTTTTTCTGCAACTTAAGTGATCTGATATATTAAAAATCATTTATGTCCGCGAGTAGTAGCCACCCTTTTATAGAACCTGCAATGGGTTCGAAGGTCGAATTGTCTCAATTCGATGGAAAGGGGGATTACTCGGTTTGGAAGCAGAAAATGAGGGTCATATTGGTCCAACAAAGTGTTGTTAAAACCCTTGAAGATCCTGAAAAATTTTCCTGATGAATTGAAAGCTAAGCCTGATGAAATTCTAGATATAAATGAAAATGAGGGTCATATTGATCCAACAAAGTGTTGTTAAAGCCCTTGAAGATCCTGAAAATTTTTCTGATGAATTGAAAGTTAAGCCTGATAAAATTCTAGATATGAATGAAATTGCATATAGTTCAATTATATTGCACTTATATGATAACATTGTAAGACAAGTTGAAGAACACAAAACCGCTAGAGAATTATGGAGTGCATTAGATACTTTGTTTTTGACTAAAACGTTGCCAAATAAAATTTACCTCTTAGAGAAACTGTTTAGCTTCAGAATGGATGTTGGAAAGGACTTGGAAACTAATTTGAGTAACTTTAACATTTTAGTTAAAAGCCTTTCCCATAACGACAAAAAATTTGAAGATGAGGACCTTGCGGTGATCCTTCTTAATTCTCTCCCCAATTCCTAAAGGGATATCAAGAATGCAATAAAATATTCAAGAGATGCTTTAACGCAATCTATTGTCATCAATGCTTTAAGATCTCGAGAATTGAAAATTAAGAGAGAGTCTAGAAGTTCAAGAGAGGAAAGTATGTTTGTGACAGGAAAAACCAAAAAGAAGGAATGTAACTCAAACAACAGAAAATTCAAATCGAAATAAAAAACTAGATCTAAATCACAAGTAAAAGCAATAAGAAGTGCTACAACTGTGGGAAATTGGGACACTTTAAACGTGATTGTTTTGAATGGAAGAAGAAATCAAAAGATCATAATAATGAAGATTTGAATAATTCTGCGATTGGTTTTGAGTTAGACAGTCTTCTTGTAACGACTGTGTCTAATGAAGAGTTGAAAAAGACTGGACCTTGGATTCAGGGTGTACATTCCACATGTATCCTAATAAATCTTGATTTAATAATTACAAATAAATTAAGCCCAGGAAAGTATATATGGGGGATAATAACTCTCAAAGTGTTCTCAGTATTGGTGACATTGCCATCAGAATGTATAATGTCATTGTCAGGAAATTGAAGAATGTGAGACATGTCCCGAATTTGAAAAGAAATCTAATCTCGTTGGGATCTCTTGAAGATGAGGGACATTCTTTCAAGTCTGAAATAACACCTTGAAAGTTATGAAGGGAACTTTGGTAATCTTTAAGGGACCAAAAAGAAATGGATTGTACTATCTTTTGGGAGAGACAGTTACCTCTCAAGACTCTAAATCTTTGACCATAACGGAAAATAAATCCGAATTGTGGCACAAAAGAATGGGACATATAGGAATAAAGGTTTAAAGTATCTAAGTAATCAAAAGTTGCTTGGGAAGGATACGATTGAGCCTCTTGAATTTTGTGAAACATGTGTGTTGGGCAAGTCACATAGGGCGAGCTTTGAGACTAGATCACATACGACTTCTAGGCCTCTAGACTATGTCCACTCAGATTTATGGGGACCGGAAAGTCATTCTACCTTTGGAGGGAATCAGTACTTTCTTTCTATAGTTGACGACTACTCTAGAAAGGTTTGGACTTATCCATTGAAATCTAAATCTGAGACTCTTCAAAAATTCCGAACTTGGTTGAAGATGGTGGAAAATCAACTTGATAAGAAGTTAAAAACTCTAAGAACTGACAATGGATTAGAATTTTGCAATGCTGAGTTTGATAATTTCTGTAAGCAAAAGGGAATTGTAAAACACAGAACCGTTAAGCACACACCAGAGCAAAATGGGGTCGCGGAAAGGATGAATAGAACTCTAATGAACAAAGTAAGATGTATCATAATCAGTTCTGGATTAGCGAAAGGATTTTGGGCAGAGGCTATATCTACAACTGCTTATCTTATAAATCGATCTCCATGTAGTTCTATTGGATTTAAAACTTCACAGGAACTTTGGACGGGAAGACCCCCAAACCTTTCTCCTATTAGGGTGTTTGGATGTGCGGCATATGCACATCAAGTTGAAGAAAAGTTAGACCCTAGAGCTACTACGTGTATGATGTTTGGGTACCCGGAAGGTGTTAAAGGGTACAGGTTGTGGATGTTGGGCGTTCAAGGCATTAAAATCATTAATAGTAGAAATGTGGTTTTCAATGAATCTGAAATGCCATGCTTAAAGAACAAAATTGATAATTCTAAAGAACAGACTAATGAGACTACTTCACGGAATGAGGTGAAGTAGCAAGGCTAAACCCCACTCAACATGAAAATATTGAAGAGGGTGTACAACAATATGATGAAAATGTTGTTGACACGGATGAAGGTGAAGTAGGTCCAAGTGAAGTCGAAACTGAAATTGAAAATCCAAATATTCTCACTATTGAAACAAATGCTCAAGATTATCAATGGGTGAAAGATAGGGAGAGGAGGCAAGTCAAACCAAATCCAAGATATGAAATAAATAATTTGACCGACTTTGCCCTTATCTCGGGTGAATCTTTAGAGTATTCAGAACCTTCATCATATGAAGAGGCTATGAATAGCTCTAACTCTGAAAAATGGAAAGATTCAATGAAAGAAGAAATGAAATCTTTGCTTGAAAACAACACGTCGAAATTAGTAAAGAAACCTAAAAATCAAAGAGTTGTTCAATGTAAATGGATTTTCAAACTAAAAGACGGGATTGGGTCATCTGACCCTTTGAGATATAAAGCGAGGCTAGTAGCCAAAGGATTTACTCGAAAGGAGGGTGTTGACTACAATGAGATCTCCCCCCCGGTTGTCAAATATAAGACCATAAGGTTGATGCTTGCACTAGTTGTTCAGTTCAATTGGGAACTCGAACAATTAGATGTCAAGACAGCCTTCTTACAGGGTGAATTAGATGAAGAGATCTATATGAATCAACCTCAAGGGTTTGAGGTGAAGGAGAATGGAGATTATGTGTGCAAGTTGCAGAAGCCATTGTATGGGCTCAAACAAAGTCCAAAGCAATGGTACATTAAGTTTGACACATATGTGTTGAAAATTGGTTTCAAAAGGAGTGAATATGATCACTGTTAGTACTATAATAACACTAGAGTTGGTAGTGAAGTTTATTTACTTCTATATGTTGATGACATACTATTGGCCAGCTCTAGTAAAGCTGAAATTTTGAGACCTAAAGGGCTTCTAAAATCAGAATTTGATATGAAGGACTTGGGAAATGTCAAGAAAATTTTAGGAATGGTTATCAACAGAAATAGGCAAGAGAACATTTTAACTATCACACAAAGTGCTTATTTGAACAAAGTTGTAACCAAATTTGGCATGAAAGAAGTTAAGAAAGTTAATGTACCTCTTGCAGCCCATATGAATTTATCATCATCTCAATCTCCTAAAACTGAAAGTGAAATGGAAGAAATGAAAAATATCCCATATGCTAATGCCATAGAATCAGTCATGTTTTCTATGATTACCACTAGGCCGGATTTGGCTTATGCTATAAGTTTCTTAAGTAGATTCATGTCTAATCAGGGGAAACCTCATTGGACGGGGTTAAAATGGTTTCTAAGATATATTGCTGGGACATTAGATGTGGGATTGATGTTTGAAAAAAGATTTGAACAACTCTTTTTAAAGGGTTATGTAGACTCCGATTTTGCCGATGATAAGGACCAAAGAAAATCTACTATCGCCTATTTCTTCATGTTTGGGGATAATTGCATTACATGGAAGTCACAACTTCAATCTATCGTCACATTATCCAGCACGGAGGCTGAATATGTGGCAATAACCGAATCTGTAAAAGAATGTATTTGGTTAAAAGGAATTTTGAGAGAGTTGAATTTTTTGCAAATGTCACCCGTTATTTTCACCGATAGTCAAAGTGCTTTACTTTTATGTAAAAACCTGGTTTATCATGAAAGATCTAAACATATTGAGGTGAAGTACCATTTCATACGTGAAAAAATTGCTTGTGGTGATGTTATATTTGAAAAAATTCATACCGATGTGAACCCATCTGATATGGGAAGCAAAATTCTGAATGTAGGTAAATTTAAGTCTTGTTTATCTTTACTACATATTGATACGGGTTAATTTCTTTTGCAGGTACTAAGGGTGATGATGTAGGGCAAAAATATTACCGTCACATGAATTGTAGCAACTAGAGAGAGCTAGGGGTTTGTAAAAATAAGGTGTAGATTGTGAAAATGTTTCCAAAAACCCAATTAAACGTTTCTTTGGAGGGAGAAAAAAAGAATCTTTAAATTGTTGGCCACATGGCAGCCTACTATTGGCCACTTACTCTTTCACGTGGACTTGTGTTTGTTTGAAATAATGTGGATCATTGAGTTAAAATGGAGGGCTGAGATTTGCATCCACTTTTCTCTCATTCTTGAAGTAGACGGCAGGAGAGAGAGTGACTAGACTTTTCACTTTCCTTCTTTCATTTTCTTCAAATGGAAAATTCTTTCTCTCTCCCACTCTCTCTCTATTTTGGTGATTTTTTAGCCTTTACCAAGGGATATTCTTCAGATTAGTTCCTGTACATTTTTCCGGCCATATTTCTATTGTGAGGCCCATATTCTGGGTCCAGTGATCTGGTTATTTTACAGTTGGTTGCCGGTATTTTGTGTGTTTCCGGCAGCAAGTTTTTTTTGTCCATTTTGGTCAGATTTTATACTGTAAATTGATACTACATTTGAATCCAGGTCAGGGTCGGTTAGGGCTATTATTGTGAGGTTTTTTTACAGATGGATGATCTGTAGATTTCTTGATGTAATCTAATTCTTGTAAACGAACTCATGTTCTCTCTTGTGTGGTTCTTGCATAGTGAGGGCTTGGATTTTTGCCACTGAACCCCCCAGATTAGGTTAGCCGAACTGGGTGAACAATTTCTGCGTTCTTTAATTTTCTGCATGGTTTTATTATTGTTGTGGTTGATCGATTGGTGATTGAAACCGCATTTTGGGTGAAAAATCCCAACAATATTCATACAATCATAGGTCTACTGGGATTTGCAATGAAGAGTATACCTTCAAATAAAAACTCGGACAAAAAAAAAAAAAGGAATGCTTCCAAAAGGAGCAAAAAATGAAGAAGAAATGGCAGGATTGATTTCCCATAGTTAGAAAGAAGTTGAAATTGGATGGGGGGAAAACTCACCCTTTTGAGTACACATAATCTCCATCTACTTGCAACATGAAGTAAACATCCTTTCCATCATGCAAAGCCTATAATTCATTATCAAGAAACTTATTAACACAACACACAAAACTCACACATTTACTTATATCATGTATCTATTTCAAATTCAATTTCCTCTATAAATTCAATTTCCTCTATAATATTTCCTGTTTCAATTGAAATTTTTCCAGGGCTTTATGTATTATTCGATTTTTCTTATTATTCTCACAAAATAAAATAAAATAAAATAACTTAGGAAAGGATCATACAGTACAAATTCTCAAATCTGGTTCCAATTCAATAACATGCATATCCATCTATTGGCTCCCTCAAAACCATTCATCTAAAAGATATAACGAATTCATTTTCCTATGCAGTTTTTCTTAAATGGGACTTGAATCTAGGTTTTTTATTCTTCTCCATATCGTCTATTCAATTATATTGTTTGTATCTTGTTTTCAACAATTACCAATGATACCTTAACGGTCATTTTTCCAGCTTTGTACTCCTTATCTTCATCCGGATCGAGAGCTGGGCGGAGTGGAAAATCGAAACCATCTATATCAGCCCAATCATCAGCATGTCCATCAAGAGTGACAAATCCGGGCCTAAATTCGGCCACAATTCGGGCCTCGGCATCAGGTTCGCAGTGCCAGTCACCTGATTCTTGGTGAGAAGCTACGAATCGCAGTTGGCTGAGGGCGAGACAGAATGTGAAGAGCTGAAGATGAAGTAGAAGCGACATAATAGGTGCAAACGGCAACGTTTTCAAAGAGTAAACCAGGTAGAAAAACCAGAAGTTTGGTATTTGGACACTAGAAGGAAAATTGGAGCCGCCCAAGAGGAACGACGACCGTTGACTTGTGTCTAAGCGGCAGTTATTTATTATTCAAGTAATCTTGCCTAAACCACGACATGAAGAAGTGTTTAATAGTGTTAAAAATAAAATAAAATAAATTAAAATAACACATTTTTAACGTCGATTGTGCTACATGTAAGAGGATTTGTACAGATAACCTCACAAGCATAGTTATCAGACCTGACTCGAACATCGACCCGATCACTAGGTTACTGGTCGAACCAGTGGTCGGACCAGTGGATCATTACTTAAAAATAATTTAGACCCTGTTTGAGTCACATTTAAAAAAATATATATTTTTCAACAGTGATTTGACATCATTTCAACAACACATTCTTCAATAAAATAATATTATACGCAAATTCAAAATTTTTTCTTATTTCTTAATCATATATTTCACATCAATACACTATTAAAAAATGTATTTTCATTCCAATAATGCGGCTCAAATAAGGATTTAATAATTTTTAAAGTATACTTTTTTATTTTTTTTGTTTGAGACAAAATTAAAGTTTTCAAGTACTTTGTCACTAATTTTTCTATACATTTAAATTAATGATTTTTTGAACTCATTTATCAGTGATAAAGGTTAAATTTTGATTTTATAATTTTGTATATTGTATTAAAAAAATATATTTTTCCCTTTTTGTGATTTACAAATTATTTATTAGTTATTGACAAAAATTTTGTGTATTATCTATTCAATTTATCTTAGTTAAAATTAAATTTTTTCAAACTAAATAATTATTTGAAAATACAAAGTGAATGAAAATGTTGGACTAATTTTTTTAAACGTTTCTAGAAGTAGCAAATTATTCATAGGTTAAATATAATTTATTAAACAATAGACGATAAAGTGTTGCTTTGTACTAATGGTAAGGTTGTGTTCTACTTACTTAGAGGTCAACGGTTCAAATCTTTGGTACCTACAATTTCAATATAAAAGAGTTTTGAAATTTGATTTAAAAATCAACCGGGTCGAACTGGGCTAAACTGGCCCAAAAATTATTCAAAAACCGCCCGTTGGCTCGGTCAAATCCGAATTTTAACCAGGCCACTTGCATTTATATAAAATTAGTTGGCCCGGCCCGATCAAGGGCCTGAGTCACCGATTTACTGTGCCGACCGTCAAGGTTGGGCCAATTTTAATAACTATGCTTACAAGTGTATGTGTGACTTACCTCTATCAGTGCTAATGGATTCGAAAAAGATGTAGAGACTTTAAACTTTATAAAACTATAAACTTAAAAACTTAAAAACCTAAATTTTAAATTTCCAAAAAAATTGATAATGCAAAAAATTGATAATGCGGAACATACATTAATTTTTTGGGAATGATTATTTATTACTAGATCTTAACTCCAAATCTTGAATTTTGAAACTTGAATTGCAATTTTTTCATCTTTGGCTTCTTCACTTTAATCTTGAATTTTGTCTTATTTGATTATTTAATTCTTATTCTTGATTTTACTTTTTGATCCATAGTCTTGATTCTTAAATTCCTTCTTCTTGATTTTTTATTGTGGATCTTGATTGTGGGTTTGAGATTTCTTATAAATGAGATATAGGTAGTCATGGTGAGAAAATCCGTCTGCGAATATAAAAAATTACTGTTGACCATTCCAAAATACCAAAGGGAATGACTCAAAGATATCCGTATAAATTAGTTCTAAGATGTCCAAGAAGCCTTATTGGCACACAATCTCCTTATGTTTGTATGTTTTTCCTTTAATGTGATTAACAAAAACACTTAAATCTGAAAAATTAAGGGGATCTAATATTTCTTCTGACACAAGATTTTTCAATCTCTTTTGAGAGAGGTGAGATAATCGCTTGTGCTATAACAAAGTAAAATTCTTATTGGTTAATTGATATTTAATACCACATGAATTTACATGTAAGGTTTCTTTATAAGAAGTAATCGTATTAAGAAAATTTAGGTTATCATAACCAGATAAGAACTGGTATCCACAATATTTGAATTAAGAAAAATATCAAAGTGAATATTTTCAATTGAACAAGAATACCCAAAATTTTCCAATATAGAAATAGAAACCAAATTTTGTTTAAAAGATCGTACCGCAAATGTCTCGTTCAAATCCAAATAATAACTAATCTTTAATAATAATCTAAAAATTCTTATAGCATTAACTTTAATGGATTTGTCATCATCCCACATAAATGAATCTTTCAGCATCAATTGGTTTTAGGCTGTTTAGACAACCTCACATAGACACGCTTAATTGAACAGTGTTATCTACAGAGTGTGTCAAAGTACTGAAACTAAATTAACATCATAATAGACAAAAATGAGATGCGTACTTGACTTTACATGGCAAGCGTGGTTTTAGTACAACCTCTCTTCATTTGTCCCAAATTTTCAAAAAAGTGATAGTTAGATGATTTTATCATTTTCAGGTGTTTGTTGTTTCTTTCGAACAGGATAAGATGCAGCTTTATTATTCTTTAATTTGTTCTTATCCCATTTTTGCAAAGCGTTTTTTGAATATTTCTTTAAAAAATTCAATGGCAATTACCTTATTGAACACAGTGCCCTTGAATGTTGATGGAATTTTACGCTTCATCATCATAAGACTTGTGCAGTTTGAACGACCTTACTTATTTGAATCCCATTTTATTAGCAGAACTCCTATTAGTAAGAATAGTGGATTGTTCAGTCCTTAACATGACGTCAAGATCCATGCCATCAAAAACGATATAAATGTTCTCTTTCCAGTCCTTGAACTTTGGTCTAAGCACATGGATTGAATTGATATTGGCAGATACTGCAGAAATAGATGAATTAACCGAATAGAAAACCTAAACTTAAATGACATGTTCACATGGGAATCGTATTGGACGATCAATAATTTCAAATAATGGTCGCCCTGTTTGACAAAATCCCATACGGGTTCATTGTACAAGAAATAATCGTAACGAGAGAATTATCGTCACACAAGGAATAAGGCTCAATTCTAGTATATTTGATATATTTAAATTCGTGATTGTAACAAAAGATGGTTGGTTAGTACCTAACTACGTTTTATAACTTTGAATCAATAAAAATTGGTTTAAAAATCAAATGTGAGTGAACTTATTGGACTTTCGGCTCCACTAATCAACTCGTAGTTCTAATTTTTAATCAGTGATAATTAACTCAATTCATGCAATTGTGACGATCGATGATTTCACTTTTGTTTACTATTCTTTCTCAAGATATAATAAACCTATGATTACCATGCGACAATCATATTCCTAGTCCGAATTAATATGGCAAATATGCATTGATGTTTAAGATTATTACACATGATCGCACATGCCATAAATACTATTCCTAATATTTATTGTCCATGTATTCCATAAATAGTGTTCTACCTAGCTTAAACTTTCCAACACTTTGAATAAGCAACTTATTATCATAATGGTGCTTAAACATTAAAATAATGTAATTGTGCATATTAATGGAATCACTATGCAATAATTAAGATAAAAACATAAAATCTCAAATTAAAACCTAAGAATCAAAGAGTTTTATCATCCATTCAATACAACGGATTTTAGACTAGCATATTAATGTGAGAAATACAAAGAAACAAAAGAAAGTCGTCACCTGAATCATTAAACTATGAAGAAAATCTGGAAATTTTCAATGAACGCTTTCAAATGCAGATCCAAGCAATGAATTCTTCGTTCTTCGATATATATTCTCTTCATTTTCTCTCAAAAGTAGGCTCTCAATGATAAAAATTAGGTCCTCTATGTTTTGGACGACTCTTGGTATAAATAGGATGCTAAGAGATTGTATATCAAAAGTTTTCAAAACAAAATAAGAAAATAATTTTTTTTTTAGGAATTGAACAATACTTAAGCATGGTTCATTTGGTGTATAAGTAAAATACATATGATTTGGTCTCCAAAGTGGACTTTTGGAACCATGCGAACGCATGGCCTGTAGGCTCATGCATACACATGGTACAATTTTCCTTGAACTTTCTCACATATGTATTTTGATCATCTTCCAAAATTTCTCATCCCATTGACTTTTGGCATTCTCAAATCATCGTTTTAAGGTTCAGCACAAGTTATAAATATTTGCACTTTAGTCCAAAACTTTGAATTTCCTTCATTTCAGCTATTTTCTCTTGTAATCTTATTCCTTTATCTTCCAGTTGTATTTACTTCGATTCTTGGCATCTTTAATCTTCATTTCGTGGCATGGATTATTTGTAATTTAGTCCCCAAATTTTGAATTTAACCCATTTTTCACTATTTTTGTATTTTTTTCTCCAATTCCTCATCAAACGTTGAGTTTTACCTATAAATATTAATATAACATAAGTTAGATAGTATTTTATCCAAAAAAAAGAGTAAAATATCATCTTTTATGACCTAGAATAAGTGTAGAAACTACACTTATCGTCTTTAGTAGTTTCAATTCCCTACCCTCGATGGTCAACTATGTTCTTTCATCCCTCATAAGTTTCCCACTCCAAACTTATTATTTTCACTCTTTTCAAGTGTGTAACCTAAAGTTGAATTTTTATACTATCCCCACCTCTCTAGTTTAGGTAAATCTCAATAATTGCAAGTTAATATGTCAATAAACAAGAATTCTCCATAATTTAATTGCTTCAATCTCCAGAACTCAACTAGGCTAATAATCCCTTATTAAAATTCAAATTTTCTTAAACAAGTGTTAGGACTTAATCAAGCCTTAAGTGCTTATTCTGTTTCGTTCACATACTTTTTCTATTTTTTACTTCAATTTTTATTTCAACACTTTTTTCTTTATTTGTAGCATTCTTTCCCTTAACCATTCTAAAGATCCCTTTAACGAGCTTTAGGTCGATGACTCTCAAGTCAGTTGATTTTAGAGTAACAGGTTTTAACACCCTTACAGACTTATTAATTCGAGTCATTAGACTACGAAGAGAAATTTTTAAATAAATTTTTTTATGCTTTAATTAGTGCAATATCCCTCATTATACACCTATCCAATTAAATCGACCT